ATTTACTCGGAAGAGGAAAACAAGGGAGAAGCGTGTTCAAATTCTAAAGGTTTCTCCAGGAACGAAGTGTGGCTGGATTCACACATACACATACACGCGGGTTTTCTGATGGAGCAACACGTCTGAAGGATCTCCCCAGAGAGCAGGACACGCGGACGCCGCTGAGGTTCCTAGACAGACCTGTCCTAAGGCTTCACCCTCTTGTGACGTAACAAGAGGACTTCACCCGATGACGCAACAATGGGATCGAAAGACTCCGACGCAAAAGGGGGGAGGGGAAGAAAACCCTTTGATCTTGGAGGCTTGACATTCTTTTCCACACACACCCCCACTCCATTTAAACCACCACAAAGTCTTAACTCTTATTCTCAATTTTCCCCCTCTCTCTAATATGGATGAAAGATTGCTGAATAGCATTGACTCGGTTTCCCGTGTCGCTCTCGGTCGTGTGAACACACACACACACACACCCCAATCGAGGGCGAGTCACAGCCATAAGGTCTGTCTTTCGGAAAACGGGAGGAAAAGGGAGATGCGGGGTTTTTTTTTGGCCTTACTGTTGGTAGTCTTGCTTGCAGTAGAGTTTGCGGTCCCGGAAGTAGCAGCTGGTGGTGAGGGCCTGCTGACACGCGGCACACTGCAGGCATTCTTCGTGCCACGAGGACTCGTTGACGCGCATCAGGAAGCGGTCGGAGATGGGCCGCTGGCAGCCTTCGCAGACGGCCTGGTGCTGACAGTCGGACCCTAAGGAAGCGAGGGAGGGAGGGAGCGGAGGAAACAAGGGAAAAGGAAAGTGAGGAAATGTGGAGGAGAGAGGGAGAAGCAAACACCCGTGTCTCAAGGCTGGCCACAGCGGAACCATTCTGATCCCATTTCCCATTATTCCCTTTGCATTCACACGTGCAAGACTAACCCAGGGGTCCTGGAGAAGAGGGAAGGGGGCCAACGTTCCCCTCCCAAGGAAGGAAGGAAGGAAGGAAGGAAGGAAGGAAGGAAAAAGAAAGAAAGAAAGAAAGAAAGAAAGAAAGAAAGAAAGAAAGAAAGAAAGAAAGAA